AACAGCTTTATTAGCGCACAGGTTTATGAATATCAACAACGACCACATCAGGAGCATATAGTTTACCAGCATTTATTAACAAATATGTAGAGGTGCACACTAACTCAGAGATGTTTCATCAAAAGATCACTGAAAACGTTCTGTTTTTCACCAATGACTTGGTTAAATAACTCTTAAAAAAGTATCAGGATTGGTACAAAATCCTGTTGTAGCAATGCAGCACTACTAAGTTTTTTGTCGTGACATAAGGCCGAAGTGTTCTATTAAAGATGCTCCATGCTGCCTTTATTGTTGGATGCACTGCGATAGTTTTGAACCGCATTCAGAGCATAATTCACATCACTATGGAAGCACTTGTTATTGATTAGTTTCATCAGAGGAACAATAAAAAGCCACTGAGGTGATAAGTATATTCATGGTGAATTGAAATTAAAACGCAGCTATTTTTAAAAGAACATTTTCTTTTTCTGTCAATGTATCTGCTTCACTGTTGACTCTTCATTGGTGTAAGTGTAAGCATTAGAAGTCTCAGTTAATAAATAATTTTTCATCAAATTTAAATCACAATAGAATAATCCAGGGTGTTTCCTGCCTTTTGCCCAATGAGTGCTGACATAGGCTCCGGCCTCCCCCATGACCCAGGAGGATAAGCAGCTTAGATAATGTTTATGTAGGTGTGTGTGAAATAAACAGGAATGAAACTTCACGAGGGAGCCAGCAGGGGGCGCCACCCACCACATGTACTTAAAATGCCCCTAAACTATTTATGAAGTTCTTTAAATTTGGAACATTATTGGGAAGCAGTCACACACAGTCAAAGTACTCTGAAAGAACCAGTGATTTCTGGCACAGTATGACACACTGTTATCTAAAAGACATCAACCAAATTTAACCTTTGAGGTTACTGCTCTGCTGCTGCTCCTTTTCAGCGATGTTGATGTACTTTAGTCCATGTTATGTGTCAGAAACCACCTAATCAGGTCTGTTACAGATTACCACAATTACCACAGGGTCATATTTGAATTGAAAACATTTAAAACAAAAAAGAATGTACATGTGCAACTGCCTAAATAATATCCTTAAAAAGTCATATTTTATCTTATAGCCAGTTAAGATACAGTGAAATAAATGAATACATAAATAAATAATATGTATTGTCCTATTACAAACCATCCTGTATCATATCCTGTGTTCGTCTGAAGCCAAAACATTCAGCAGCGTCTGAAAATATAGAGATAAAAATGAGACATAGCACAGATTCTGTGACATAACAGGGCGGAAAACATCTCTCAGCAAATGAAGCTAGTGAGGATATGCCAGTATGACCTGGACAAGTAAGAAACAGCATGTGATCATGCTGGACCAAGCAGTTGGATTTTATTGGTCTCAGCAACACAGCCGAAGCTGGCCATGTTTAAAGGTGGACTATGAGTGTCATGTGAAACAGCTTTGACCTAATTTTTTTTTCTGAGCTGTGAATCTGTGGTGGAGTAGGCAGATATGGACTGCCTGGGCTTCTAACAAGCAGATGAACATAAACGTATATATGTATTATATTAGCTCACTTATTGTCAACAACAGAGGATTAATCCAAAAGAACATTAACATAAACAATTTAAAACTTCTGCTCTGTAGGTTTGGCCCAAATTACAGTATCAAACTGATGCTATTTTCCCACCTAACAGCAAATGAATCAACCAAGAGAAGTTTGGTGTTTGAATCTGCTTCTTTGGAAAACTATAAAAATGAAGCAAATTACAAACAAAATTGAGGACTCAAGTTCACTACTACCAGTACTACCATGACATATCATTTGCGATTACCAAAAAATTCTACAGATTTTTAAAAATAATTCCTGCATAATTGAGATGTAAACAGAGTGAGTCAGAGTGGTTTGGTGTGAAATGGTTGATTGTAGAGATTTCTTTACAGTAGTAAAGAGGGTCGCCATGGCTACAACACAAATATAGACAATTTATTAAATGTCCAAACCCACCAGTGAACCTACACAAGTTTTTATATGGAATGTCGATGATGGTAGAATAGTGAAGTAGTGTAAATAGCATCCCTTCACTGAATATGTTTGGTTTACTTCAGAAAATGATCAACCAACTTCTAAGACTGAACTTTGCCCCTGAAATATTCTATAAAAAAAACTAAAAGAGAGTTTTTATTCTTTTATCCTGACACTGAAATAACGTGTACTTACCGTCTGTTTTGACTGGATTTTAAATTAATGAAGGGGGTTCGCTGACTTTTGCACATTACTGCGTAAACAGACATACATACATATGGAACATATTTTTTCATTATATGCTTAAATATATAGAAACTGATTCCAAACAGGTAATGGAAACTTACACCCCAGCAATTATCATGGTGCCAACAGCATTACTTACTTTAAACCGTGTGGAATTGCTCAGTAATCTCTAATAGTGTTGTTTTCTAAAGTATGTTAGCATAGCTAAAAACAGTAGCAGCCATCTTGATGCCTGGATTTAGTCTACGTTTATGGACAGCAGTGTGTCATATTGTGTCAGAAACCACTTAGCTGACAGGTAATGAAAGCTTTTTTTATACAAGTAGACTCAGTTTATTCTCTTGAGGGGAAACAGATCTCACCTGTGACCGATAAAGTTCTCACATCCACACTGGTCAGCACTTACTAGAATAATTCCATCTGTTAAACCCCACAGTCTGACACAAACTTCACCCAAGCGGCCACACTTTCAGGAACTGTCCCATGATTCCATTTTCCACTTCGTCAGTTATGAGCCACATTTAGTGTTTCCAAATGAAACAAAAGGACTAATGTTTCACTTCCTTAAAAAGGTGGCTTCATTTCCTGTCACCTTATTAACTGCTGGCATATTTACAGTATCGTCTGATTTATAGAAGAATGAACTCAATTATATGGATAATTAAAGTAAGACCGAGTAACTAAGAGAAGGAAATAGTGAGTTAATGGCCTGGACCAAGCCGTTTGATTTTATTGGTCTCAGCAACACAGCCAAAGCTGGCCATGCTTAAAGGTGGACTATGAGTGTCATGTGAAACAGCTTTGACCTAATTTTTTTTTTCTGAGCTGTGAATCTGTGGTGGAGAAGTTTAGTATGCGTCATCACATATTTTGTACTTTAGTATGTACAAGTGTGATACATATGGGGCACGATATTAATACATACACATACAGTACTCAGCATTTTTTTTTTATTTCCATGCAAAAAAGCTATTAAGCACGTTATTTATTTTTAGTAGATTAGATATAAGATAAGCCGCATGCATAAAGAGTCTAAGGAAAATTAGTGAAAAAACAGGATGTGACCTGGAAGATCTGGTAGACACCAAAACTGCCCCCATCAGATAAACAGCACTTAAAGCTTTCATCTTTGAGAGAGAGGAGAAAATCAAGCTGCTTCAGATCTGAAAACATCCACAGGTGTTTCTGTCCATCCTTCCACTGTGAAAAGACAACTCAGCGCTGTGGGTCTGAAAGGATGTGTAGCTGCCAAGAAGCCTCACTGAGAAAAGGAGACAGACACATCAAACAAAGAAGCTGAACAATGGACTGACCACCCCAGAGTCCACACCTCAACATCACTGAATGTGTTTGGTTTACTTCAGAAAATGATCAACCAACTTCTAAGAATGAACTTTGCCCCTGAAATATTCTATGAAAAAAACTAAAAGAGAGTTTTTATTCTTTTATCCTGACACTGACATAATGTGTACTTAATGTCTGTTTTCACTGGATTTTAAATAAATGAAGGGGGTTCTCTGACTTTTGCACATTACTGCGTAAACAGACATACATACATATGGAACATTTTTTTTTTCATTATTTGCTTAAATATATAGAAAATGATTCCAAACAAGTTGGGACAGTATGTAAAATGCAAATAAAAACAGAAAGAAGTGATTATGAACTTCATTTTGGGAAACATTGGGACAGGAACAATAGACTAGGAGTGTTGTTAAATGTTCAGAAAACATTTTAAAAGAGGCGATGTAATAATGCTTGAGCAAAAAAGGAGCATCCAGGAAAAGCCAAGCACCAACATCTTCTTAAGTTTTTTCTTAAATCTGTTCACAAGATTCTGTTCTGAACGTCAGAATCTTTGTGAAAACAGCATAAGTGGGTTTTAAGAATAACATCCACAAATAACCACAAATAATTGGGAATAACATCCACAAATGCACAGGGGACGTCACATGTGAACAGCATCCACAAATGCTGCCAACCTCTCTAGACTCAAGCTCATCTGAAATGGACTGATGCTTAGTGGAAACAAGTCAAACTTTTAGATTGTTTAGTGAAATAATGGACATCCAAGAAAAGGTCCATCCAGACTGTTGCCAGTATAAAGTTGCAAATCCAGCATCTATCATGGTATGGGGGGTATTAGTGCTCATGACATGGGTAACATGCTGCCGTTTATTTCAAGTCAATGCTTATTTCAACACAACACCAAGAAACATTCTGCACATTACGTCAGCATGGCTGTGAAATCAGAGGAGAGTGTGGGTGCTAGACTGAGCTGTCTGACACCTATTTTTATGTGTGGTGCACTGTGACCTGCAAAACATGACAATGAAGGCCCTTTCAGTGGTGTAGCTAAAGACTTGTATAACCAAAGACTGGAAAAAGTCTAGTTTTGAAGCTGGATCAGTTTGTGTCCTCAGTGCCATGCCTCAACAATTATTAAGTGCTGTTTAAAGGAAGGGCGATGTAAGGCAGTCATAAACATGACATTATAACACTTATATGTAGTTATTATTCTAGTATAGAATATTTCCTTATTCTATATGCTTCACGATCAGACATACACATAATAATATTCTTTCTTTCCAAACACACTGAGTGTTGTCAGTTTTCCAATGACATTATAGTTTTACGTAGACATAACAAACACACACATACACCCACACACACACACACACATACACACACATACACGCACACACACACACGCACACACACACAGCTGCATGTGTTGCATATCCTGAGAGGAAGAAGCTACGTGAGGTGGAGAGGAGACGGCTGGTACTTATGCACTTACGCAGCAATAGCACAAGCAGAAACGAAAGCAGAATGAAGTGAACATCAGACGAGAATCAGTTTATGAGCAGAAGTTCGTGGATCAGCACTGACGAAGAAACCGGCTTTGGAATCTAAAATTTCAGAATCATCCTCTAAAGCTCCACAGATCTCCTCTTTGAGCAGAATGGCTGCGTCTGGTGTTCATCAACTCTTTCTCCTGTTTTTCCTTTTTTCTCTGTTTTCCATCTCTTCTCCAGCTGCAGAAGAGGACTGTACCACCAGGCCTCCCCGTAAGTGTCTTCATATCATCCTATTTTATCATTATCAGATGTATTTTATTGTACATGCATGTTCACTGAATAAAACAGTAGGCTGGATATTTTTGAATGGATGTTTCCGCATGAATAAAACGTTATATTAATACAATTACAAGCAACATTTTGAAGTACATTAAACACTGTTTATGTTATTTAAACATTACAATTCAGCAATTACTTGGTAACTACTATAAAACGAGACTCTCAAAAAAGTACTTTTCCATATATATCATATATAAATGTACTCAATCCATTAGGTTGAATGAGTAACTGGCTCTAAATGTAGGTATTATGATATAAACTGAGTCTGTTTTACAGTTTCTCATTAGGCTGAATGGGATTTTTACCAGTGTTCTGTAAAGAACACAAGGACATGTTTCTGTGATCTGCTGGTACAGACAGTAATGTGCTTTATCAGTTGCTTAATTGTGTGAGAAAGAATGCACATCCAGAGTGATGTGTGAAGACAGGCTGCGCTATATTATTGTGAGCTGGGGAAGGGATTAGGCTCAGTTGAGTGCTGAACTGGCTGTAATTCCCTGCTGCTAAGGAAACACGGATGAGCAGCAGGCGGCAAGAATGTGAGGCGTGTCTTTGGGGAAATTGGAAAAATGTGCGAGTGCAGCAGGGACTGTGCGTACACTGTGCAAATGACTGGGGGTCGGCCTGACCCTCTGGAATCTTATAGAAAATCAGATCTCAGTTTGAGGGACCTTACTTTGTTAGTACAATTCCAAACGTTAGTCAAGTAAAGCCAATTTGATTTGACATTACCAAATTTTATTTCCATACCGAATAAATCTGCACGTTAACAAAAAATCAGTAGGTTTACTGACATAGTCAGCTAAAACATAAGCACATGTATAAACACTATTGGGGTAGTTTCTCCAAAAAAATCAATGAAGGTTGCATTATTATTCATTTTTATTAGTCACTTAATCATTCAAAAAAGTGGTTGACTAGTCATCACTACTATATATTTTTGAGGGAGGGGAATTTTTTCCAATTTTCTCTCAAATATAGTCATACTGAGGGAGTTAGGACTCCCCAATTACACGATACCACCAGCACTAGGAATGCAAAGGCTAGCACAAGCTCCACTGAGTCCTGTGAAGTGCCACCACATCTTTTTTGAACTGCCAAGCAATGTCATTGGAGAACTGCCAGTTCTGTTACGTCAGCTAACAGATGCCTGCACTGGCTAGCATCGCACTAAGTGATGGAGGGAGAGGAAGGGCCATCCTACCCACCCAGGGAGAGGGAGGCCAGTTTTGCTCTCTTGGACTCCCAGCCATGGATGGCAGTAGCACCACCGGGGATCAAATTCCCTCCTGATGATAGGGCCAACGTGCAAACTCAAATCCATTACCATATGTTATAAAAAGTGTTCAGGATGTGTATGAAAAGCATTTTATTTATAGATTGCTAACAGCGAAGGCAGATGCTGTGGTTTGAGCTGTGAGATGTGACTGCAGAAGAGCTTCTGCTGTATTCTAGTGAGTTTCAGTCTCAGACACTCTGCTCACAGAAGTACATAGACTGCCTGATGTAAACCGCATGCTAAAATCACCAAAGCTCTCAGAATCTCGCCTCTCACTAAGAATTTAACCATGAATCTTAAGTTATTATTAATTTTTTTTTATTTTGCCTTTAAATACTATATTAATAAATATTGACTCTGGCTTTCTGCGCTTCCATGCACTGGTTTTATCAGTTTGATGGGACAAAAAATGATTGTTTATCAAGCTAAAAGCTAGTAACAATAAACTGTATCTCTACAGAGAAGCCTTTCAGAGTGAGATATAGTCGCAGAGAACACATTCCTCACTATCCTGTTTTAAAGGTTACTCCCAAATTTAGTTTGAAACATTAGGTAGCAAGTACATGAAATATCCTTGTGAATTTGCCCGTACTGGCAATTCAAGCTAAATGTTCTGCGATGTCAGTCTTTAGCCTTGTCCTGTAAGAGATGGCAGTTCTCTAAAGCGACCCGGTTTTTCACTAGAGCTACTTTTTTTGTTTGTTTTTAGAAGTAAAATCAGTTTCTGTTTTCTGCTTCTGCCAGTTCATTGCTTTTACCCACCGCTGTGTTTCAGGTGCTCTCCTCAACTAGTTTACTACTGCCCACAGTGCCTACTAGTGGATTTATGAGTCTAGTAGTCTATGTAACCCATATTACAAATGACTAATTACTTTGTTCAAACTGTAATGGGATATAAAGTAATGAAGTAGTCAAATATGTTTTCCAAGAAGTAATAAGTCAATGAAATCTCACTACTCATTACTTTACTTCTGAGTTATTTGAGTTAGTTATCTTTATTTATAAGACAAAGTAGTTAAATTAATGTAAAATAAAAATTACAGGGTATTTAGTATTGGCCAACTAATTTAAGGATCCAATATCATAAAATGGAAAATATTAATTATGTAATATTTATAAAAAAAAAATAACCATGAAACAAATCACTAAACAAAATAATAACCTGATATTGTTTTTATGTTCACAGGCCTCTTAATTAGGTCCACCACCTAGTTACAGACTGTAGTCCATCTGTTTCTCTGCAAACTTTGTTAGACCCCTTTTAGCCTGTTCTTCAATGGTCAGGACCCCCACAGGACCACCACAGAGCAGGTATTATTCGGGTGGTGGATCATTCTCAGCACTGCAGTCGCACTGACATCATACCAATAGGATAAAATGGGCGGGGCTTGCCGTTATTCCCTTAAATTCCCAGGCTTATTATATCCTAAGGTTTAATGTTCGGTGACTACATGAAAAAAAAATTCAGCTGAATAAAATTTAAGTTGTAGAAGTGAAGAATGGAAGCCTGGACTCGCCTGCAGAGGTGGTCCTGAAACTTTTGACAACCAGTTGATTTTGGGTGTTTTGCAAATTTTACATGGTGTACATATTGCTCCTAAAAACTGCACCGTATAGCAGGCTGTGTCTCATCTTCCATTCCATTTTTTTTGTGGTTGAACATTTCCTGGCTCTTTCATAACACTGTACACTTTATCTGGGGTTAAAATAAGTTGCAACATACGTATAAAGATTTGTGCAATCTTTGTGGGCCCCTGTGTCATGCGTGAAATGTAATTTTTGATGCACAAGCATTGCGTTTGTGTTATTGTGCTTGTGGGCTTATGTTTGTTGCAATAACTGCTTACAGATACAGATACTTAAAGATACAGAACTGACCACAAGAAAGTTGACCACAGTCAACACTCTTATAAAGTGGAGTAGTATAAGACATAGTTCATAAACAATGTCAATGAACGTTCCTATATGCTGGAATAGAAGATATTAGTCCACAAACTACCTCTATGAATGTTATTTTTTTATCAAAGCTGTGGACTTGAGTCACGAATTTGATGCCTTGAGCCTGGACAAAATTGAGGAAGACTTGCGACTCGACTTTGACACTGACTTGAGCCTCATACTTCAGAAGGACTTGAGAACCAAAGTGGAAGAAATATGGAGAGAGTCTGACTGCAGCTGCTTACTTTCTTGTTTCCTGCCGTAAATTTGATGTACAACAGCATCGTCAAATGTCTGTTACTGTGTTTACACTTGGCTTCTATTTCAAAAGACCAGAGAAGTGTTAGAGTTCAAGGTCACCTCCATAAGCTGGAAACAAGCAAAACATCAATAAGCCCTCACTCAGTGCTTAAACTCCAGGCTTTCTGGAGAAACTTACCAGGCAAACTGACCATTTTCTTTGGTCATTTTGGTTTCTGTTATCATCTTAATTCAATTCAAACTGTTTTTACTTTGCTGCATAAACAAACCTCAATAAACACTCCTATACACTAAAGTAGGAGATATTAGTCCAAAAACAACCTCAATAAACACTCTTTTGCACTAGAATAGGAGATATCAGTCCATAAACAATCTTAATAAATACTCCTTTGCACTAGAATGGGAGATATTAGTCCATAAATAATCTCAATTAACACTCCTACACACTAGAACAGGAGATATTAGTCCATTAAGAACCTCAATTAACACTCCTAATCACTAGAACAGGAGATATTAGTCCACGAAGAACCTTAATAAACACATTATACAGTAGAATAGGAGATATCAGTCTGTAAACAACCTAATTGAACACTCCTATGTGCTAAAATAAGAGATATTAGTCTGTAAATGACTTCTGTAAGCAGTATGATAGAAGTTATTACTCATTTAGTCAACTATTTAGTTGCTAATCACTCTTTTTTCATCTTTTCCTCAGGAGGGCGTTCCTTCGGGTTTATGCCTGGCTGTAACAAAACTTTGACCGAGAACCAGAAGAAGGTGCTCCAGTCTAAAACCACAGTTTTGCTAGTTCCTCTGCTCTACCTCCTAGCCTTCATTGTGGGCCTCCCTGCTAATCTCCTAGCCTTGTGGGTGCTGCTCTTTCGCACCAAGAAGTTTCCATCCACCATCCTCTTGGTCAACCTCACAAGCTGTGACCTGCTGCTTCTGCTGCTGCTTCCTTTCCGCATCGTCTACCACTTTCAGGTACAAGATACAAGAGCTTTATCAGACTTTCACTGAGGTCAAACGAAATATTTGTAGATTAGAGATTAGAGATACTGATAACATCATTCTATACATAGCTATGTGAGATAACTTGTTCAGTATACTGGTGCTCCTTCTGCATGCTGGAAAATGAGCGGTTGTCTATGTATGTAATATATATTCCCCCCAAAAAAGTCTTGCGGACATTTCATGTATACGTTTCTGTGTAAAAGTTTTATTTAATTGTTGTGAAAGTTACACGTTTCTATATAACCTAATATATTCTAAACTAGGATATCTATGTCATCTTTTCTTGAGTAAACTGACTTTGAATAATGAATGACGTTGGTTATTGAATTTTCCAGATGCACCAGAATACATTTCTAGTGAATTTTAGTTTATTCATGTTAAATACCAGATGCCTTATTGACCCTCGACATCTTACTCATACAAACTCATAAGGAACTACAGGTCATTATGTATTATGGACACACAGGGTATGACACTAAGATTGGTTATATTAATTTTCAAAAGAGAAAATGCATTATAGAGACACTCCAGCATGTTGTAAACATGCTTACTCACATCCTGTGGCGTGGATGCAGTAGTATGATGATGCCTGATTTGGAGACTATAAAAACCTACTAATGACCAATCTTGAAGTTAAAAGGCAATAAGCTAAAAGCTAAAGCTAGCAGGGTAGATACCTAGCTATTTTGACACCTTACCTCAATTTGGTTTAATCTCTCTGGATGAAAGGGTAAAAAACTCATCTCTGGCATTAATGATACGAAACTAGAATCACTGTTTTCTTTATGATTGATACGATATTGATATGATTTTGTTTTATGACTGAAGTAAGAGTTACACTAATGCTAGTTTGGTTGTATTTATTAGCTTGTATATCAGTGGCTAGGCCACACGCTTAAAAATGATAGTTCTTCAAGGGTTCTTTAGTAAGGAAAATGGTTCTGTGCAGAACCTTGAACACTCGAAGAACACTTTGCATGATTAAAGCGTTTTTTGCATTGTGATAGGTTCTTCAGATTGATGGAATATGTGCTATAGATGGTTATATATAGAACCTTTTTTGAAAATGGTTCTATAAAGCACCAAAAATCGTTCCTTTATTGTTAGGGTGTCAGGTTTGTAACAATATAAGAAACTTTTTGGTGCTATATAGAACCTTTTCAAAAAGGTCCTATATAGAACCATCTACACAACATTCTCCATCAATCTGAAGAACACTTTCATGATGCAAAGAACCCTTTAATCATGCAAAGGGTAATTTGAGTGTTCATGGTTATTTATAGAACTAAAAATCAGTGCAAGTCAACGGGGGACACCGTTGGAGTGGCTAGACTGCAGTCTGTCTAGGTCTTTAATAAGTATATTGGTGGTCCAAATGGAGAGGTCATTGGGTTTGAGAGATGCTTCTGTAAGTTGAAAGTCAGGCACATTTTAATATTGATGGTCTAGTTGGATAATACAACACATTTGATGCTGATGTTTTCTTTTGCATTGTCTACCTCTTCCAGGGAAACGACTGGCACTTCGGAGAGCCTTTTTGCCGCCTTGTGATCGCACTCTTCTATGGGAACATGTACGGCTCTGTCCTTTGCCTGACACTAATTGCAGTGGACCGCTATGTAGCCCTTGTGCACCCGTTCGGAGCTAAGACCCTCCGCAGCCAGAAAACGTCAGTGTACATGAGTTTGGCGGTCTGGGCCATGGTGTTGGTTGCAGCTGCACCTCTGCTAGCCTCACAGCAGTCTTATATGCTAAATAACCCATCTATCACAACCTGCCATGATGCACTGCCTAAAAGCGAACAGAAGAGCTACTTCCTGCCTTATTTTGCGACCCTCTTCTTCCTCTGCTTCCTGGTGCCACTGTTGGTAGTGCTGTTCTGCTATGGTGCTGTCCTGAGGACCCTGGTGGCTGCTGGTAGCCGTTACTCCCACGCCGTGAGAGTCACTATTCTAATTCTTGTGGTTTTCATGGGTTGCTTTTTGCCCAGTAATGTCCTTCTGTTGATGCACTACTCTGCATCCTACCTGCTGGAGGGCATGAGTGAGAAAGGTGATGCCCTCTACATGCCCTACATGATCAGCCTGGCTCTCAGCACCTTCAACAGCTGTCTCGACCCTTTCATTTTCTACTACGTGTCTGAGGATTTCAGGGAGAAGGCGCGAAAGGTGCTTTGCCTTGCTTCTGATTCTTATGAGTCCTCTTCCTCAGGGAACCAGGTATCCTACTCCTCAGGGACATCGAGGTCCAAGGTCACTCTGCTGTCCAATTCAAGCAGGACTACGGGAGTTTTAGACAGAGAGGTAGTAAGATCATAACCTGAGGACTAAAAATCCTACACAGTAGAATTACCAAGTAGAGGACTCAGAGAGACTCAGCAGAGGACCAACAACAAGCTCTGAAGGTTGAAGGCAGGATTTGAACCTAGGAGATCTAAAAGTACCAATAACTCATTATTTGACCCTTGACAATAATTAAGGTGTCAGCTAACTCCAAAGCCAAATGAACTAGCAACAGGTTACTGGACTTTTTGGAAACTTTGACCATCGGAAACAGGTACAGCTTGGGACATTGTCCAATACTAATTGCAGTTGATGGCTATATGGCATATCCATTTAGAGCTAACTTCGGGCTGCATGGTGGTGTTAGCCCAAGTTTTCCTGCTGAAGGGCTACAGTGATTAAGATCATGCTCTCTAAATGCTCTATATGATCAGCCTGACTATCAGCACCTTCAACAGCTACATCAACCCTTTCAGTGTCTGAGGACTTCACGGAGAAGGTGTAGGGTGCTGTCCAGTCACCTTGCTTTCCAAGTTAAACAGAACTATGGGAGTTTTAAGTTGTTTTTCCCCTGCACAACTACCAGAACTTTTGGCTTCAGAAAACGGGAACTGTGCTTTTTCTTTTGGCCATCAGGTCAGAACTGAAGGTTTCTGTTTTGTGGTTATCATGGTCAAAATAGTTAAAAACAGGACCTAATGGAGCTCAGTGGTGTTCTCATCTGCCCTCCGTGTTTTTAGCTGAAAGTATTAAGAATTTAGCAAATTATTTACCTTTCTAGGTGATGATCAAGTCACCAAACACTATTACATCCCCAATAAGATCATCTGAATGTAAACTGGAATGGCATGTTGAAATGACAATTGATACTTTTAGAATTTTAACTTTATAAAGATTTTGCTCAGTGTGCAGCTAACAGCTACATAACTAACTGACTAGCCAAATTCTTGATGCCTTTTACACAAATGAAAAATAAACTAGAACTAGAACATGTTTTTTTTTTATCCATTCTTGTGCTTAAATGTTTTGTGTCCCTTTAATGAATGAAGGCAGTAGCTCACCCCAAAGTATAATGGGTAGTCATTGACTTGAACACAGTTACATAACACTGACATAACCATGTAATAAACATGCCATAAGCATGTATAAAGATGCCATGAGTTGTTCAGAAACAATGTCATGAAAACTAGCAGTAATGGTAGAAAAATGTCATATGATAATTTTTGCTGTGTATAGCACAGTTAACCTTTGTGACATCAAAGATTATGTCATCTAGACATGAAAACTACTGGTAATGGTAACATGACACTGTTATGCAACCACTCATAACAACCAATGACATCCATCGTGACATGAATATGGCATGGTTGTGTCAGTGTTATGTAGCAGGTTTCAAGCAAAAATTTACTGCCTAATCAATGCAATGTGGTTATCACGCTTGTCAGTAGAAACATCTACGACTCTGATGCATTGCTCTCGTTCAGGTGTCTCCTCTTCAAAGAAGCAATGATTTTCAAGGAACACAAACAGGATATTCATAATTTGTTTTAGAACATGAAATTAGTGTATCAGAGTGTCTACATGTGTCGGAAAGTTAAATTTAATGCATTCTATGACAGTTTTAGGACAAATCATCTTTTTCGTATTCAAAAAAGCATTGCTGTTTAGGTATAAGGGTCAGTGCTAAATATTTTGTCCAGTGCAGAGGTCAGTTTTATTTAAGAACCATTAGTTTACATTTCCTTTAGCTCAGACAGCAACCAGCTACTGTAATAACCTGTCACAGCAAGTAAGTGTAGCAGGTCAGTCTAAAGGCAGTGTGAGGTTTAGTTTTATATCAGTAATGTGACTCTGATGAGCTAAAATGTCTTATTTTGGGAGAAAGGAAAAAGACAAGATTTTGGCAAAACGGTTGGTCACTTCTAGTCTTCATAACTTCAGAACGGTTTATGCTACAGACATGATCCACATATCAGGGCATTCAGCAGACCTGCCCCTAACTAGTTAGTGTGTATGCCTTTGAGCTGTGATGTCAGCATCAGTCAGTAATTTGGCTTGGAAAATCATCCAAAATCCTGATTCTACTGCTCTGCTTTTTGCCCTTCATATTCCAACAAAGAGTTAAAACAGCGACATGATTCACACATCAGATCACTCAACAGACTCTGCCATTGCCATCCAGAGTGATTTCATCCACCTGTGACCATCCATCAGCCAGCAATCCAGCTCCAAAATCACCCAAAACCCACTCGCTGCTGTTATGTTTCATCTCTGCTTTTAGTCTTCATATTAGAAGCAAAGGGTTAGAAATAGTGACATGATTCACACCTCAGAACACTTAGAGGAACCTGGCATCACTAGCCAGAGTGAGAGAAACCAGCTCTAACACCCCACAACCCAGACATACAGCTCACAACACAGCCATAACCACTGTAACACCTACTATTAGCTCTCTGCTATTTCACTCTCCTTCATTTGGCAACAAATGGGTTGAAAACAGCGACGCATATCACACATCACGTTGACCATCAGGACTTACCCTGTGTGTCCAGAGCAACTCTGTGGAGATTTTATCCATGATCCAGTCAGCAATCCAGTTCAGAAAACCACCGTTCAGATCCTGTGTTTACTTCCATTTAAAAGGCCATTTAAAAGCCCCAGAGCAACGTGTTCGGTATGAAAGTTTCCATCATGACTCAAACAGTCCTCAGACTGACTCAGACTCGGAGTTTAGAGCTGATAATCAGACATTTACAGCTAAATACGCGTAAAAACGACTTGTGTGCACGCTGCTGTACGGAGCTCCGGAGGGGACGGAGGTGAAAAAAAATATATATAATTCGAGCGAACGTTTTGTAGTTCGTACGCACGTTTTCTCTTATTCGTGGTCACGATTTCTTAAATCGTTCCCTCGTTTTCTTTTAATCGTGCGCACGTTTTCTTTACTTAGTGGGTTCATTTTTTTTATTCGTGATCACGATTTCCTAGTTCGTTTTCTCGTTTTCTCTTAACCGTGGTCATGTTTTATTTTTAACTGAACCCACGTTGTTTGTGTTTTGATAACAGCTCCCTGAGACCGTCTGACGGGTTTTGATTGACGAGATAATGGACAGAGGTGCTCATCAGGTCTGATTTTGATTTGGGGGGTTATGAGGAAACTGCAGCTCCTCTTCACAGCGAACGGCCCGCGGTGTTTCTGCTCCCGGTCAAGCTGCGGTGTTAGAGACCATCATACAATTACAGGGCGAAATGATCAGCGTTTCAACATCCTCACATTAATGTATCTACATCTAATCCATAGATCTATTAAACTCTCTCTTCATTTGACCTCATTCCACATGAACGTTTCTGTGTGTGTTTAATTTGAGTTTGTTGAAACGTTGACGCTGACTATTTCTTCCTGTAATTGTGTGATGATCTCTAACACCGCAGCTGGTCGCGGGAGCAGAAACAGCGCTAAGCGGCCGCGCTGCGTCTCTATCTCTGTTAAATATGATCATTAGACAGTGCAGTTTAGTGAAGATTGTGGTTGCAGTTTATTGTCTTCCTTCATTTCACCACCAAACTGCAGCTGCACTGATGAATCTGAGGGCCGTTCGCTGTGAAGAGGAGCTGCAGTTTCCTCTTAACCCCGCAAATCAAAATCAGACCTGATGAGCATCTCTGTCCATTACCTTATCAATCTAACTCATCAAAACCCGTCAGTGTCAGAGAGCTGTTATTTACTTCTGCACCAGACAAAAAACACGACCTGTATCTACAACACTGATTTTGCGCACGAATCCAAAAAATAAACAACGTGCGTTCAGTTAAAAATAAAGCATGACAACGATTAAAAGAAAACGAGAGAACGAATTAGAAAATCGTGATCACGAATAAACAAAAACGTACCAACGAAGTAAAGAAAACGTGCGCACGTTTAAAAGAGAACGAGGGAACGATTTAAGAAATCGTGACCACGAATAAAGGAAAACGTGCGTACGAACTGCAAAACTTTCGCTCGAATTAATTACCTCCGTCCCCTCCGGGGCTCCGTACTACTGCTGACCTGAGGGAATGCGATAAAACACGATAAAACTGCAGTGTCCCATTCAACACAATGAGTGCACTTTCCTTCTTTCCCTCAAAATCACACAAACAGGTCCTAAAACGCATTTTAACAGATAAATAACAATAATTATGACTAAAATTATGATAAAATCAATAGAATTAAGCTCTGTCTTTCAGTTTACATTAATTTTGAGTATTAAAAATATCTGATATTAAATATACAACTCAATTTGTAATTAAAAATAAAGCCTGTCTTGCTGTGTATTACAGTTTTAGCACTCAGCATGAATCGAAGAGAACAGAAAATCAATAAAAAAACATGTCCGTCTTGTGCTAATTGTTTATTTTTGCTCATAATAACCAACAGAATGAATCACCATCAAAATTATTGCACTTTCTGCTCACAGACACAATTTCTGACAAGGTTTCTGAGGTGAAACTTGTTTTCAAGATCTCTATGAGCAAAAAGTTACTAAATTTTTCGGCAAATTTTTGATCAAAAATGACCCAAATTCATAAAGATATCCAATTTCTGTTAGCATTTACATGCCAAACAATGGCATATCTGAGTAGCCCAGGGTCTCCTGAAAATAGCAGCATATGGCATGTGTGACTGTCTCATGTAAATACTGTAATTGACCCAAAATACTCAAAAAATCCCCAAAATCTTAGGGTTCTAAGGGTTAATTACCTTTAATGCTTAATATTTATAACATTTTAGACAGTAAGACTTTTCAAAGATCTGTAAGAAGACAGGCAAAGTTTCAGCAACATGGTTTATTGCTTCATAAAGTTTTATAAACTTTTTCCACAGTCACAGTTGGCTCGCAGAACCTTATAGAGCTAAGTTAGAGTTTGACTTTGAAAGTAGAACCTTTTTTGTTTTCTAGATAAAGAGTTCAAAAATGCTCACAACCTAAAAAACACCTCACATAATGTTAAGATGCTTTCACAGAATAGGAAAATGTGAATGTCTCTGGGAAAAATGTCAGACAGAATCTTATAATTCCAAGGTGGCGAAATGTCACTTAAGCAGGATCCTGCAGGACTGAGCTACTAACATTATCATGTGGAAAATCAAGGGATGTTTTGAACTCCATAAGCTATTATTTGACATCAGCCAACTCTGAAGCCAAGTGAACTGCAGCATGTAGTTTGGCCTCTACTCTTCAGATGTTTAAGGCTGTTTAAGCTTGCTGATGTCATATGTGGTAAACAGTGTGGCCAATCTGTGAAGGTCTATGTCAGACAGGAACGCTATTTCCTGTGTAAACATGGTGTGAGTCTGAGTGTTGTTCCAGAATGTAAGCCAAATTTGAGTAGCTATTTCAACTGATGTTCAACAGTACCTTTTGAGAGACACTGTGAAGTAAATATGTTGAAGCTCATTAAATCAGACAAATCAGATGTAATCAAAAGTAGTATTATTGGGTGCTCCTTTTATGAGGGGTAGAGTTAGCAAAACTTCAAGAGCAGCCAGCATTAAGCAAACAAAAAACACTTGTTTATTAACTGCATAAACAGACCTAAAAGGCTCTGACATGTGAAGGCAGATCTCACAGCTACAAATGTTCGGATTGTATTTGAATTAATAACAGAAAATAAAAGCTTATATATAAGAAACACATTCACTGTCTTCCACTCTAGACTCCACCATAGACTCCACTCTAGCCATGCAAAGACTGACAGCGCATGAATATGCATGTCAGAAGGCAAAAATTTAAATGGTTTTAGACGCTTGACCCGCAGCGTCCGATAGCTTGGCCTCAAACATTCTGACCTTTGAATCTCATGAGTCACATGAGGTGTAATTGTGAAGTAATGTAAATAAGTACAAATCTCAATTTGATCAAGGTTGAGACGACAGTAAACAGCTCATAAAACAGGAAGCTGTGATACTACATTCTGTTTGACTTGTATCAAATTGTAAACAGTACAAAAAACACAAAATCTGATGTACATGCAGTGCTGTGAAAAAGTATTTGCCCCTCTTGGGTTCCTCTGTTTTTGCATATTTGTCAGTTGGTTTAAGCTCCTCATACAAAATGTAATATAAGACAAGGAGAACATTAGTAAACATAAATAATTTTTAATGATCATTTCATTTATTGAAGTTCACCCATTTGAAAAAGTAATTGTCCCCCTCTGCTTAATAATGGGTGGTGCCACCTTTGGCAGAAACCATTGCAAACAAACACCTCCTATAACTGGTTTAACCATTTGGGATTCACAAACTCGCTTGCTTGTCAAATTTAGTGTTTCTATATCTGTTTCTGTATCTTTGTGATGATACAGCACAGAAATATGATTCAAACATTTCCTGAATCTCTAGAGTCGCCCTTTCCATTCCATCTTAACACGAGATTGTATGTACTGTATTTGACTCACATCCACAGTTATGAGGCTATGAAGAGTCATCTGCCTCTCAACATGTGGAACTGGTGGATTCATGTGTCCGTTTACATTTTGTGTGAAACCAAACAATGGACACTAAGGAAATCACTAAGGACTGACCAAACATGCCGGAAACCCTTCATTCTTCATTCAGTCCACATCGGAGACACATGTGAAATGGGGTGCAAGAGAGTGTACAGCTGCTGAAGTTGCTGCAGCGGTTTTGGAAAGTATTGATGAAGATAATGGAGCATTAAGATATGAAACACATGAGTATAAACCATAACCACAACAGGACGCTGAGCCCGAAGCATGAGTCAAAACAATACCCAAACCTCAAACTACACTTTGTGCAAAACGTTTTTATTGCAAATAAGTAAACACATTTTTAACACAATAAGTTAACTTTTTAAAAAAGTTGGGGCAGGAGCAACAAAAGACTGGTAAAGTTGTGTAATGCTAAAAAAACACCTGGTGGTTAATTGGCAACAGGTCCATGACATGATTGGGTATAAAATGAGCATCTCAGAGAGGCTGAGGCTTTCAGAAGTAAAGATGGGGAGGAGTTCACCACTCTGTGAAAGACTGAGTGGGCAAATAGTGCAACAATTCAAGAATAACGTTTCTCAAAATAAAATAGCAAATAACTTTTGCTTTTCATCATCTACAGTACATAATCACATTAAAAGATTCAGAGAATCTGGAGAAATCTCTGTATACAAGAGACAAGGCTGAAAACCAGCATTTGCTGGCCATGATCTTTGGGCACTCAGGTGGCACTGCATTAAAAACAGACATGTTTCTGTAGAGGAAATCACTGCATGGGCTCTTTTTGGAAATCATGGACACTGTGTCCTCTGGGCTGAAGACCACTCAGCTTGTTATCAGTGCTCAGTTCAAAAGCCAGTATTCATGATGGCATAGAGGTGCATTAGTGCACATGGCATGGGTGATGTGCACATCTTTGAAGCCACCATTAATGCTGAATGATATATACATGTTTTGGCAATATATGCTGCCATCCAGATGACGTCTATTTCAGGAAAGGCCTTGATTATTTCAGCAAGACAATATCAAACCACATTCTGCATGTATTACAACATCATTGCTCCATATTAAAAGAGTCTGGGTGCTAAATTGGCCTTTCTGCAGTCCAGACCTGTCACCCTGTCACAACATTTGGTGCATTATGAAATTAAAAATACAACAAAGGAGACCCCGACCTGTGGACCAGCTGAAATCCTATATAAAACAAGAATATAAAACACTTCACTTTCAAAACAACAGCAGTCAGTCTCTTCAGTTCCCAAATGCTTACAGAGTGTTAAAAGAATATGTGATGAAACACAGTGATAAACATGCCCCATTCCAACTTTTTTGGAATATGTTGCTAGCATCAAATTCAAAATGGGCATATATTTGTCTTAAAACAATACAATTTTTCAGTTTCAACATTTGATTTTTTTTTTGTCTTTGTGGTATTTTTAATGAAATATAGGGTTCAAATGATTTTCACATCATTGCATTTTGTTTTTATTTACATTTTGCACAGCGTCCCAACTTTTTTGGAAATGGGTTGTAATTCTACACTCTTAAAAGGTTCTTAAATTGTTCTTCTTGTAGACACACACAGTTCTAGGGAAAAAAGAAACTTGGGTAAAGTACCTTTCTATTATGTGGAGGTCCTATAAATTTAAAAAGTCTTGTCCAATTCAATGAAAGCTTCTTTAGGGAACCAACATGTTTAATTGCTTAATAGCAGGAAAACCACAGTGACAGCATCGACCCCCACCCTGCCCTATGCTGTCAGAGATAATGACGTTTTGAAAAAGTGAACAGCAAAGCCAAAGCAGTCAGGAAAGTACACCCATATGCCCATTCAAACGGAAAAACACACTTCCTGTACATTTATTTGTTTAACAGATGCTTGTACCCAGAGCAGGTCACAAAATGCACTGAAAAAAAATATAGCAAAGAATGTCAGCAGAGAAACTCTATAAGAGGATGTCGATGGAGGAACTCTATAATAGAATAAGAGAATATCAATAGAAATACTCTATGAGAGAATGTCAATAGAGAAACTCTATAAGAGAATAAGAGAATGTCAATGGAAACCTAAATAAGAAAATAAGAGAATGTCAATGGAAAACTCTACAAAAGAATAAGAGAATGTCAACAGAGAAACTCCATAAGAGAAAAAGAGAATGTCAATGGAAACCTAAATAAGAGAATAAGAGAATGTCAATGGAAAACTCTATAAGAGAAAAAAGAGAATGTCAATGGAAAACTCTACAAAAGAATAAGAGAATGTCAGTAGAGAAACTCCATAAGAGAAAAAGAGAATGTCAATGGAAACTTCTATAAGAGAATGTCAGTAGAGAAACTCTATAAGAGAGTAAGAGAATGTCAATGGAAACCTCTATAAGAGAATGTCAGTAGAGAAACTCTATAAGAGAAAAAGAGAATGTCAATGGAAACCTAAATAAGAGAATAAGAGAATGTCAATGGAAAACTCTATAAGAGAAAAAGAGAATGTCAATGGAAAACTCTATAAAAGAATAAGAGAATGTCAACAGAGAAACTCCATAAGAGAAAAAGAGAATGTCAATGGAAACCTAAATAAGAGAATAAGAGAATGTCAATGGAAACTTCTATAAGAGAATGTCAGTAGAGAAACTCTATAAGAGAATAGGAGAATGTCAATGGAAACTTCTATAAGGGAATGTCAGTAGAGAATGTGAGAGTGTGTAACTAAAGTGTGGACCCACATACAGACCCTAAGAGTTGAACAGAAGGGGTTAAATAGACACAGCTACAGTGTGTGTAAAGTCTGTTGTTATTAACACACACATTTGGGTGCCTGAAGCCTGTGTGTGTAATCAAGTGTCTGCATGTGGCGCCTCCAACGCCTTCTCAAAGCCGTTGTTTGGAGAGATAAGCAGGACAATGACACAGCGAACTGAAGAGTGGCCCACCAACAGAGAGGGAAAATTTAAACACTCATAAGTCCCGCCAACGTGCTCACGACCACACTCGGAAATATATACGGTACGTAGCCTTCCTCTAATAATATAAATATCATTTAGATGATCTACTGTAGATCCTTACAAGTGCTCAATATATTAAACTTATTCTTTATTAAACTTTTTTTTTCAGTTCATGTAAAAGTTCATTATTCTTTGAATACGCAAGTTATGTAGTTTCAATAGAAGCATGGATGCACACATCCTTAGGATTTAAGGTGGAATTCCAAAATATCTGCATTATTCAGTGTTTGAGCTGTAAACAGAGTGATTCAGAGTGGTTTGGTATGAAATAGTTGATCGTAGAGACTCAGATTTCTTTACAGTGGTGGTGATAGGAACCAGGGGTCATCATGACAACACAAATATAGACCTTTTATTTACTATCTGAACCACCAGTGAACCTACATGTGTCTTCTGAGTTTTATATGGAATGCTGATGATGGTAAAATGTGGAAAATCTGAAAAAATATGTTTTTTTTGGAGACCATTTTGCCTCACGACACCCTGTATATTTTGTATCCCTCCACCATAAATGGATTTTAAGGCCAAAATCTTCTCAAAGCTATCGCAAAACAATGTCTCAGTCAACAGGCAGCGTTTTCCTAACCATTTAATGTAATAACTTTCTGTGAGGGAGCTGAGGGAGGGAGATGGACATCTGGTTCCTATCACCTCCACTGTGAACAATTCCGATCTTAGCTTTTCCTTTACTCTAAAACTAGCATTACAATCCTAAACTAGTGTCAAATTCTAACCCACATGCTGTTGTGAATGAGCTGTAATCAAGTGAATCAACTCACAACAGCTTGTTAATATTCTAAACATGTGAAGATAAGTATGTCTTTTTTTACCAATATTAACACTATAAAACATTAGAATAAATACAAATAAACATAAATAAAATACAAGGCAACAAGAATGCAAGTTGCATGTTGTTCATTTGTATTCATTCTAATTTTATTATTAATTTTGAAAATAAATGCAAATAAGTGGCTTCATACATTTCTCAGAAGGCCGTTAGCCTAGTATTGTATATAATACTGTATATTTGTGGTAAATATCATTAGCGAGGACTTTTATTTGACCAATTATACAGTTTTAAAACCATCTCAGTCTAAATACTGTGTGAAAATTACATTCACTGTGCTCAGAAAGTGATATTATTGGATGATATAAGAGGATAATATAAATGACAAAAGTTCTCTGTGCTATAAAATCTGAGTATAGTCTAGAGGAGATGGAGATTAATGTAATTCTCATCTCTCTCGTCTGTATTAACTATGTTCAGCCTTCCGTTCCATCCCTCAGGACACAAAAGCTCTCTCTTCAGACGGAGAGCGGGTGGTTTTGGGCTAATGGTCTTACGTACAGGTGCATGCAGACGGCTGATTGTCGGCAAAAGCCAATTATGCTCATATGTCCCCAAACCACTTCTCCCATCACGATCACACGAAAAGGTCTATAAAGGTCTTTTTTCCACTCTCTTTGTTCTGTCAACTAAAGGGGAAGTTTTTACGGCTCTAAAGCACTGTCACATTAACTTTCAGTGGCTTTCGGGTTGAAAACACAGAAGTAAACAATGCAGAGAAGCTTAAGATGTTTAACTTTATCATTAGCAATGCTCCTACTTAAAAGTCCCTGTTCTTAAACAGCAGCATGAATAGATCAATGTCTAAAAACAAAGAAGAATGGCACCATGTCAGTGCATGGAGACATTATAATGCCTTTGTAATACTGTAATTAAGGCTTAACAAGCCTATTAATCTGCTCATTTCTACTTTATTAAGCAATAACTAAAGAGAATCAAGCACACATTTGCTTTATTTCTATATTATGCACCATAATATTTTGTTTATCTGAGCACTGGATCTGCTTATTTGATTATTTCTTTTGATTTACTACTATCTCCAATAATAAATCACCAATTAACACAAAATAAAGTAGTTAAATTGTGGTGTGTAGGTCTGCACTGTGCTTTTTAACAGCTTCTAATCAACACCTAACCTTATAGATCACATCTCATCAGCGTATCTTAGTAAATAGCTCTTTACAAATCTTCATATCAATCGATAAATGCTGTGCAAAAGAGTTGCTGATTTGATAATGCTTAATAACAGTGTCACAAGGGTAAAGTGATGTTCAACTGAACCGAATTAACCAAAAAAGATAAAATTAACCATTAAATGAATGGATTTTTCAATCCTGTCCAGAAGATATTACAGCAAAATTTGGATTTCTGGAGTCCAATCTTCAGTATAAACTGATTTTCAATCTATTATTTAAAGAGACTAAACTCTAAGACTAGACCAGTGTACAGAGAATTAGCTATAAGGTTTAAGATTTAACATCTGTCATACTTAGCACACTTCATTAGCACACATCATTGTAGTTTGATTGAACTGAACCTCCATTACTAAAGCCCAAACTCAGATTCTAAGTAAACAGTGCCGTCATCTTTGTTGAACCTTTCTGCCATCTAGTGGAAGAACTGTGCCTTTACAGCAGAGACAAATAAAAATACTGTATGTAGAACCTTTACATTTACATTTGTGTGTAGTATTTTGTCTGATCCATCGCATGTGCTATGCAGTGAATACAACATTTTCCCTTCAAATAGACGCTTTAGAGAGACCATTTAGATAAGTACACATAGCAACATATACAGTTATTATGCAGTATTAAGGGCAATGAGGAGCACTGTGGAATCTGGTGATGGTGTAAAATGAATTGTCATGGTTTTGCTGCTGTGATGCAAGACAAATTTCTGAGAAATCTGCCAATAAAGTCTATTGTATCTTTATTGTGTATCATCACTGTCCAAAAAAATGTCTCCACTTTTTCCAGTTTGAAGAACCAATAGAAATGCTGGAATAAAACTTCTTTACAATGTACATTAAAAGTAAAGAACATTTTCACCTTGTCCTGTACAGTTACTATTTTTTTGATACTTGGGTTTAGTTTCTATTAACTATTACTATCTGATATCATTATCTAAAAAAATCTCAAATATTATCTTAAACGTCAAAGATTAATTTAAGTTTAAATTTAGTTGCATCGACAAAAAAAATTCTAATTTATGTTTTTATGTTTTTTTGTATGTTCATGTATTTTCTAGCTCCGGCAGTTGACCTTTGACCTCCGTGTCCATCTGATGGCATTATGGACCCTGAAGTGACTCAGACTGAAGGTAAGAGCCGATGAGTTCCTGCATCCATTCACAACTCAGGCAAACCAATCATTCAAAAGTAACACAAGTTCTGCTTGCTTTTCCTAAGAACTTGTTTTTCTGAACTGCTTTGTCCCAATAACAACTGTAAATCTATAGATTCTAAAACATGCATCTTATCACATATTTATTGTCGCTTATTAGTATCTACAAAATGGTAGCTTTATAGGAATAACAAAGATGTTCTTTACTTTAAAGGTAAATCAATGTAAAGAGATTTTATTCAAAGTAATGTCGGAACATTTTTTTTGGTTCATTCATCATGAAATCCTAATGATTGTCTTGATTTTAGCTCTGCTGATCAGGTCGTCCTCAGCTGCATGTTTTATTGCATTTCCTGCTCCAGCATAATAATTAAATGATCAGCTCCTTAACAAATACTTAACGAGGTTAAATTGGGTGTGTTGGAGCAGGATAACATTATGCTGGTCTAATTTGAGGAAATGTGCCCCCATAATTCTAACAAGATGATATCCGGGTAATTGGTTATGTTCCTTTATCAGGATCCTTTTCTGTTTGTTTGCTCTTAACCTGGTACAGTAGCTCAGAGCAACTGTTCTCTTGGAAGTTTCCATGATAGAAGTTAAACCAATGCATATTTGTCATAGATATTTTCATCTTCAAGTGTTTTTTAATAAACAGAATGGCTCTGTTTAGATCCATGAGTTCCATATAAAACCTTTTTTATGCTTAAAAAGTTCTCTGCATGCTGAAATTGTTCTTCAGATTGATGGAGAATGTGTTGTATATGGTTCTATATAGCATCATATATTGTTACAAGTTTTATATAGTAAAAATATATACTTTTTATTGCTTTGTAGAACCATTTTCAAAAAACGTTCTGTTTAGAGCCATAAACAACACATTCTCTATTGATCTGAAGAACAATTTAACCATACAAAGAGCCATTTAAGCATGAAATGGTTCTATTTAGAATTCATTGTTCTAAATACAACGATTCCAGTTACTAGAACCAATTTTTAAGAATGTATGCTTAAGTTTATGCAATTTGTTTTTAACAAGAATAAAAATAGTGCTGTCATATAAACGTAAAAATGTATAAATTTATGCTAATTGAAGTTCTTTAAGTTCTAGATATTATCCAGGTAAAAGTGGGGTATAAACACTAAAGTACTATGTAATTATTTTGGGTAACATGATAGCAAGTTCCAAGGCAGTTTAACTGGATTACACTGAAATGCCTAAACAGGTTCTAGATATTAACTGGGTAAGCTGGTACAAGCTCCACAGTGTTTTGTGATTATCTTAGTAGTTATATAATGTAAAAGATTGTAGATAAATAAAGTTTAGAGTCTTATACAGTATGTATTTCTTTATTAACTGTAAACTGAATCTGGGCTGTAAAAGAAAGCAATGGTTCTTACTGTGGTTCTACTGGGTTCTTACTGTTAACATAACTGACCCGCTACTTGGAGGAGGTTCTAATTTACTTTCCTGCTTAAACATTCAACATTACAGTGAAACTTGGCACTTGTTTGTATTTATCATTTTATTACTCCAAATAATGATGAGAAATTTTTTTGTGTACTTTATAAGTTTAATAGCCACAGCCTGCTAGTAAATTTGGTGTAATTTAGTCAGATTGTTTTGGTACTTATAAATATTTTATTCAAAATACAGATTGATTTTTGGAATAAAATTTTAAATGTAAAAAAATATTTTGTGTAGTGAATCTGTTTATGAGAATGTTAAGAGCGTTTAAAGCTGCATCAATAGAGAGTTTAAATACAGTCTAAAATAGAAAATAGCTTGGATTATTTTGGTTACTGTGCAATTCAATACAGAGCTTTATAGATTTGATCAAATCTTTATAATTCTAAATCAATAAAAAACAAAGATAAAAATAGGTAAAACTCTTCATGACAAACATGTAGCACTTTTTCAAGGTAAGACGTACATGGAATGCAATAATACATTATGAGGAAGATATTTTGACTGGTACTGTTTGTTGCTGTCATAATAATTATTATGGTGCTTCATTTGAAAACACCAGCTGCACTTATCAATAGAAGTGTCAGGAACAGTTAAGATCATTTTTTCTTTCTCTTTTCAAATTACCAGTTAAAATTGTCTGACAATGAGTTTTTCAGTAATACTGATTAATCTGGTAAGCCTCTGGCTGAGTGAGTAGGCTATTAGCATTAGCAGGTTAGTAGTAAAAGTATAAGTAGGATGTTGATATCAGAATTTTATGGCTATAGGACCAAAACTTTCTATTAACAAAAAAGTAAATTTACAGGATAAGCAAAAAATTTAGAATTTTGAAAAAACATTTTGACACTGTGTAAACACAGCTGAGATTTTAAATACTGTAAAGGGAAAAAAAGGTTCTGTTCCGACAGCAACATATTGTAAGTTTTTAGATTTTATTTTTGTTTGTCTTAGGATGTCAGCAGTGTTAGCTATTATTGCTAATAATGGCCTGTGTATGTGTGTGTGTTTAGAGTTGCCGCTGCTGGTGGTGGTCAGTAGTCTGATCACTCTATGTGTGCTGGTGATCACCACAATGTGGATGTGCTGGAGGGTGAAACGTGCAATAAGCAGACAATCAGAGGAGAGCAATGAGACCGATGAGTTTATACTGCCTGAAAACACACCGTCCACACAAACACAGAACACAGAGGTAAACACACACACACACACACACACACACACACACACACACACACACACACACATGCACTCACTCACTCCAAACATGAAACACAGAAACACATAGGTAAACACACACACACACACACATACACACACACACATGCCCTCACTCACTCCAAACACAGAACACATAGGTAAACACATACATGCACACCAAATGCAGAACACACAGGTAAACACACACACACACACACACACACACACACATAATCTGAATGTTTCCTTTAGGGAATAAATTAAGTTTGATGTTTTAACATTAAATTGGCACTCACATTTCTCTATGTCCTCATCATGACCCAACAGTCAACAGTTATTTGATTTCTTCTACTCTCTTGCAACTCGTTCCTTTTTTATTCACTTCCTCTCTGTAAAAACACACTGTCCACATACACTCCAAAGACAGAACACACCTCAGGCACAGAACAAACTGGTAAACAACCCTAAGCCTAACGTTAACCTCAGTATCCAAACCTTAACCTAACCAAACCCTAACCTTAACCTCAGTATCCAAACCTAACCCTATCCTTAACATCACTTTCCAAACCTAAACCTAACCTTGACTTCAGTATCCAAACCTAAACCTAACCTTAACCTTGGTATCCAAACCTAACCCTAACCTTGACATCACTTTCCAATCCTAAACCTAACCTTAACCTCAGTATCCAAACCTAAACCTAACCTTAACCTCAGTATCTAAACCTAACTCTAATCTTAACCTCACTTTCCAAACCTAAACCTAACCCTAACCTAAATTTAACCTAAACCTCAGTATCCAAACCTAAACCTTACCTTAACCTTAGTATCGAAATCTAAACCCAACCTTAACCTCAGTATCCAAACCTAAACCTAACCTTAACCTCAGTATCCAAACCTAAACCTAACCCTAACCTAAATTTAACCTAAACCTCAGTATCCAAACCTAAACCTTACCTTAACCTTAGTATCGAAATCTAAACCCAACCTTAACCTCAGTATCCAAACCTAAACCTAACCTTAACCTCAGTATCCAAACCTAAACCTAACCTTAACCTCAGTATCCAAACCTAAACCTAACCCTAACCTAACCCTTTGCTCACTTAAGTAAAAACATCATGTTGTAGCTCTTCTTGTGAGGACATGTAGTTAGCTAGATGGGTACACACACACACACACACACACACACACACATAAATTAAATTTCTCTTTAAGGGAGTAAATTAAGTTTGATATTTTAACAGTTAACAGGCCCTTATTGCACTTATGTCCTCATCATGACCCAACAGTCAACAGTTAATTTATTTCATCTTCTCTCTCGCAACCTTTTTTCCTCACTTCCTTTCTGTGTTTATTACAGCCAGCACAGGATGACCCCCCCGATGAAGAGAATGAAGAGGATGAAGAGGATGAAGAGGATGAAACTGAGGAAAGAGACGACAGTTAAAGCAGCTTTGTGGTTAACCTCAAACTGTTCACTTTGTCTTTGTTTTCACTTTTTATGGTTGAAACCCTTCCCCACTGATCACTCTTCAGTTTGGGATCACCTAGCTTTTCTATTTTTTTTTATGTAAACAGCTGGCCATGTTTTCTTTATCGTTTTGCTTGCCTTATTAAACTTACTTATAACGTGTACCTTAATAAATAGAAAGCTGTTTAGATTTTTTTTTTTTTCCAAAGGAGCTGAAGCCCTAGCTTGTAAAAAATGATACAGCACTCAAACCTGTCAGGTGTTTAAACCACCTTAGAGGCCGAAAGAGTTTCAATATGAGCTTTTAACAATAGTTAGGAAAAGTAAACTGTCAAATTATTATTTAGACAAATGAAGCTGAGTGCTGAAGACAAATATGCACAAAGGATTAGCACAGAGCAGCTCTGTGAGCAAATAAACCTTTGCCTTGCTTAAGAAGTATGATTGCAAATAAAACTAGGAAATTTAAAAAAGATAAAAGTGTCCTCTACTTTTTGATGTGCAGTGTATATACAGCACATGATTGTGTTTGCTCGTTTCTGTAAGTGCTTACTTACTTTGTTTGGTGTGACGGTCTGTGATAGTAAAATAAAGATATTGATTAGAGACTTTTGTCTTGATTTATAACCCCAGCAAATATCAAATGAAATGGCAATATGAAAAATGTAAAGACCAAATATAAACTCAATGAGCACTTTATTAGAAACCATGGGCACCACCAGGGATTTGGGCCCCACAGAAAGATGTCACATTGGGCCCCACCACCCCAGGCCATGCCAAACCTGAAAATATGACACTGTGCAGACATGCATGGAACATTCTGCATACAGTGGAATTTACTATTTGGTGCAGGACTGATACCCGCTATAAGAAATGTGCTCAAGGTGCTCACCTCCTTCAGAGACAGGGCTGGTTCATTGGTCGGGGTATGAGGATGGGGTAACAGGGCTGGTTCATCAGTAGGGGTATGGGGAGGGGGAAAAAGGGGGTTGATTCATCCTTAGAGGTATGGGGATGGGGTAACAGGGCTGGTTCATCCTTAGGGGTATGGGGATGGGGAGGCAGGGCTGGATCATTGGTAGGGGTATGGGGATGAGGAGACAGGGCTGGTTTATTGGTAAGGGTATGAGGATGAGGAGACAGGGCTGATTCATTAGTAGGGGTATGGGGATGGGGAGACAGGGCTGATTCATTAGTAGGGGTATGGGGATGAGGAGACAGGGCTGGTTCATTGGAAGGGCTATGGGGATGGGGAGACAGGACTGGGTTATTGGTAAGGGTAGGGGTATGGGGAGACAGGGCTGGTACATTGGTAGGGGTAGGGGGATAAGGAGACAGGGCTGGTTCATTAGTAGGGGTATGGGGATGAGGAGACAGGGCTGGTTTATTAGTACAGGCATGGGGATGGGACATTGACGGCATTTGGCAGGTGCTGTCATCCAGAACGATTTACAATTTGATCATTTTTACACAGGTAGTCGAAGGTAGTGTTAGGAGTCTTGCCCAAGGACTCTTATTGGTGTAGTGTAGGGTGCACACCCAGGCGGGGATAGTCTACAGCGTAGAAGGTAAAGGTGTTACCCACCGCATCACACCAAGGGTATGGGCATTTATTAAATGTCGGCCAAAAGAGAAGAGAAATATAAACACTCCTATGGAGAATCTTTGGTTCCACAGTAAACACAAACAAGCTCTGCAATGTTTTTCAGCTGTTTGAAGCCATCATCAATGAATCAATGCTCAAAAAAGAGTTGAAAAATACTGACTCTTCTTTCTGTAAAAGTCTGTCTGCAAATGTACACACAAAGCTTCAACATTTAAAGAAATCAAAGAAAAAGCTCACATATTACTTACTGCATCTATTTGTTTATTGATTTATTGCTAAGATCATTAAAAGCTTAATGTTTTGTCAATTGAAGCTTGGCCTATTTTTTGCCCACAAATGTGTAGTTATTCTATTATTCTATTTAAGAATTTCACAGAACGATTCCCTGTTATTTACTTGCTTTTTACAGAGATTATAGTAACAAAAACTTGGTAAAAAACTTAGTAGTAAGGTAGTAGTAGTAGTAAGAGTAAGGAGAATTGCCCTCTGGGTTGGTCAAAGAGTCCAACACCAAAAAAAAGTGTTTTGTATTAACTTGGTTCAAATGTATAGAGTGGTTTAATAAAATATGTTACATTAACAAAATTGTTGACAAAAGTAAATAAACTGAATGGCAGTAGTGTATTCTCATTACATAATTAATTGATGTGGAACCAGCATACACATTTAAATTGTGTAAATCCCAAGCAACACTTTTTTAAGGTGTACCACACCTTATATTGTACACAAAATTGTTGCTATTCTAGCATACATATTTACCTTACTAACTATAAAATGGCTTAAATTACCTTCGTTATAAAAAATAATTGCAAATTTATTCTTGCTTGCATGCATCACTGAGATACAGTTGTGTACAAATGTTTGAACACTCCTTATCTTGCTATGTGGATTTTCTAAATGAAAATAAGCCACATTCTCTAAACTCAAATATGGCATTTTTCTGCCATTTATTGCACATTTTCTATTTATGTGCTTGAGTTTAACATATTTGAATAAAATAGTTAAACATAAAATGTGCCATGACTTTTGCACAGGCTTTATTTTTAGATTTTGTTGTTTTGCCCACTATCAGTAAACTCAGTAAATAAACAGTAATTGTCTATTAAAATTTGCAGAAATGTGAGGTCAGAAACTTATTTACACTTAGAAAATCAACAGCTGCATGGAATCTGACCGGGAAGTCCAAACTTTTGCATATGACTGGGATATATATGGGACATATTCTTATTATACTGCAGTGATGAAATAAATCAGATGTTGATTTTTTTGGATATGTCTCACTGATATTGTCTCACGGACAAATCCAGTATTACACAGCACAAAGTACAGAGTGTCCTCCTGACTTTCTCTTAAACATACAATCAACACGGCTAAAGCTCTCCTTTGATAATCGCCTATTTTTGCCAGCACCGCAATCACCAGTGTGCCAGTGATTGTGTGGCTTTGAGCCACTGTCGGCCACGTACCGCTACAAGGTGGTGAATGACGTTTTTAGTGCATATGTGTGAATGCAACATTACTAATATTTTACCTATAATCATAATCATGTTCTTGTTCTACTTTGACTGCAAAACACTGCAGAACACACAATATTAAACAAGACCTAACTTGAACAAACATGGTGGAATGTACAGCAATGTTAACTAAATTATCACAATCCCACTGTGGATCATTTAAAATAATCTATCTTTTGAATAAAACAATAGAATACAATTCAGCAAACAACCTATGAGTGTGCAGATTGACTGGAAAAGTTAACTTCCTTGTGTGTGTGTGTGTGTGTGTGTGTGTGTGTGTGTGTGTTTGTGTGTGTGTGTGTTGAAACGTGGGCCTTTCCCAAATCTGTCTATAAAAGGCTCCAGTTTCACTGAGCTCTCGCTGGTCTGAGTGAGGAGGTCTCTGAAAAAACATTTACTGAAGAGAACAAATAACAAACATGAAGCTCACCGTCCTTCTGCTTACTGTGGGTAAGAAAGTTCAGTTCCACTTCATTCTGGTGGTTCCCTTGGGGTTTCAGATTCAGATTTCCTGAGGCCATTAGCCATTATCTGGTGAATTCGCAAAACTTTTTTTCTGTTTCTTTAATTTCAGTGCTGTGCAGCCTGCAAGTGGAGGCGGAACAAGGTAAGATATACACAGAAAGCAACAAAGAAAAACTTTTAACATACACATATAAACTCACCATTTTAAAAGAATATTATCAAATAATATTAAACAATGATCCCCTGACCGACAGCAGAACATAACTCACCTGAAAGATACTGAAAATTATAAGCAGACAGAAAGAGACAGATGACTAAAACATGCCTGTACATTCTCTTCTGAACTAATATTTCTGTTTTTCTCTTTAATAAAGTGAAATTTGGTGCACTCTGTAGTGGAAATCCTGGAAACACCAAGAGAGGCTGTGATATAAGATGGGGTTGTGGAAACTACGGAGCAAGCCGGAAAAGAAAGTATGTGTGTGTGTTCTACCTTAGAGGACCAACACAATGTTTCTGACTGTAAGAAGTGCTTCAGTTTATATATATATATATATATATATATATATATATATATATATATATATATATATATATATATATGTATACAGCTGCTTTCATATCAATGCTGTTCCGATAGCAGCGATATATATGTATCCAAATAACTAAAGCACAGTAATATTTCTTTGTGAAGATCAACAAAATGTTCCCACGATGACAAAATCCTTTTATTTACATCATCTTGGGGATATACATAACCAAATCCCCCAAGATTATGAAAAAAATAGTATTTTGTCATTGTGGGGACATTTTTCTGATCTTTACATTGAAGAATTGTTTCCTTTGGTTTTATTCCTAATATAATACTATGGACGCTTTCTTTTCCTGTAAATAAACCTGTTTTTGCTTTAATATGGAACGTTATTGCAAAGCTACTAAGAAAACATGATCATTTAATTCAGTCCTAACATTGAAACATTTTGACTGCTACTGTAGTGTGTGTGACTGTATTCTCTGTGTGTTGTGTGTGTCTCACAGGGACGGATCTACTTATAAACACTTGGGTTTGGATATCGTGTGCAAAGACGGTGCCACAGTCTACGCTCCATTTGACGTGATCCTCAGGGGAAAAGCGGTCCCGTACAGAGTAAACAATGCTATCAACGATGGAGTCACTCTCAGTGGGGGAGGTTGGTGTCCAAACACTTCTGATTCTGTCATTATTTAGAGACGTTTTACAACTGCAGCTATTCATCCATTATTAATCTGCTCACTTAGCAGAAGTAGTAATATAACTAGTTACAGTTGAGAACACAAAGGTTTCTAAAAGGTTCTCAGTTCTAAGGAAAAGCTTTAATTGCTCACTGAAAAACTAAATGAGGTATAAGGAGATAATTAGGGCATCGTTAGGCATTTGGGGGTTAAAAATTAGGCACATTCTTTGTATATTTTTACTGCAAAGCGGAGAGTCTAAAACTCTCTTCCCTGTGATAAAACTGCAGTAACGCACTGACTCAAGTGACTTATTGCTATGTAAAATGGCGGCCAACATAAAATATGATAAAATACACATTTTTTTCAGGAAAACATAAACAAATATTCCGCCTAGAAATATAGTTCCTTTAGAGTACGGTATCGTTGCGAGGCAACCATGGATTGCTGAATGAGGAGAAGCACATTCGGTCACCACCGCTGTACATTGCGGTCATTTCATGAATTGTTTAACTTTTCTGTCGCATAACAATGAACATATGATAACACAGCACTGTTTAATGCAAAAACCTTCACTTTATAAGAACTTTTTGGTCACCAAATTAACACCGCAAAGCCTATTTAGCACCAATCCAGCGGCACCCCTCTTCTCACTCTCAAATGGTCCCTGCTCCCTACATAGTGCACTACATAGAAATTTAAATACTGGATTCTGCAGCCCAACAGTGCAAAATATGATCGGTTGCTTGGTAACAGGCTTGGTAATCCATTCAAGTGACAATTTTAAGCTTTTATACTGCCATTTTACAGTTAATCATACAATAAGTATTTTAATTAAGCCTGTGAAAGTAATGATGGAGTTGTTTAGGCTCTCATCTTTTAGCCTGTAAGCTAGCTGACCAGCCTAGTTCTAGTTAAGAATATAAGTTGTCAGCCCCTCAGTTTAAACAAAAAACGGCTTCTTACTTCATCAATTTACCCGGTGGTTCATGCGAGCAGCATGACAGTCAAAGATTATTCATTAACGGCACAAGGGTTTTTTCGCGCCTTAGTGTAGTAATATACAATTCAGTTGTTGTGAGGTGGTCATAGGTGTGCATATATTGTGGGTTTTACAATATCTTTGATTGCAGCTCAGCCAATCAGATTTTAGAACCAGAACCATCTGTTTTATAAAGTTACTTATGATACCAGTTTTTGCATCACTTACTTTGTTAACATCACTTATGATACCAATTACTGTCTTGACTTTTCTCATGGTGTCACTTTCTCATTCATGTTTTATGCTGCAGTTTATAGTTTATTAATGTAAATAATGAACCAAGACTGTAAGCTATGGGAATCTTAACTCACAATGTGAACAATATTAGGTTGGATACTGGGGGGCCAAAAGAGAAGAGACTGAAGCTCAGTGGTGTTTCCACTTCTTTGTGTTGTTTTAGGTTTGTGCTTTAAGCTGTTCTACCTGCACCCGGATAAATACACCGGGACGGTGAAGAAGGGTCAGAAGCTGGGCAAACTGCTGCCCATGCAGAAGGTCTATCCTGGAATCACCTCGCACATCCACGTCCAAATGTGTAACCCAAACGTCAACCCCACCCAATACTTCTGAACCAAACAAACAGGACCTTCAGAAGAAGTCCTTATCAAGCCACATTTACAAATCTTAAAGTGAAAATTTGCTGAAAAATCTGCATTACACAATACATTTGCTGTGTTTGATGTCCAACATTTGCTTGTCGCTCATGGCATGGAAGCTATTAGGGTAATGTAGTTAACAAGCATTATTGCTAGTAAATTGCTATTACGGTTTTCAGCTATGCTAATACACTTTAGTCCATGTTTATTATTGTATTACAACATATATATGATGTGTATTACAATGTCAGAAGCCACATAATCAAGTGCATTAGAGATGAGTCTATTTGTATGATGCTAATTGCATAATTTCACAATAAGGGGGTATGTGTAACAGCATTATGTAATCAAAATAAAAACTGCCACTGTATCACAGAAACTTCCTATCTTTTTGTCAAATTCATCTTACAGAAGCAAATCTGACCTTAATGTAGAAATTTTATCTTGTCTTACTGCCTTTTATCTTAACTTAAGAAATCTTAACCTACTCGATTGAAGTCGTCAATAAACTGCATCATTAATTGTCATTAATATCACAGGCTTGAATTAAAGAACTTACTGTATGATCAACTGTAAAATGGCAGTATAAAAGTCTGAAAATGTCCTTTGAATATGTGAAACCATATGTGCACAGCTGAAATGTAAACACCTAATCAAAATAATGTTAAAAATATAAATTACAGCTACTGTTCAAAACAAAGATAAAATGTGATAAACTGTAAGTTGTCAATACTGCGAGAGCACCCCCTGCTGTTTGTCAGAGTCGCTACTCCCCAGTTTCAGTCTCCATTTCCTAAGCACTTTAGCTGGCCGCATTAACGTTGTTCCTCCTAATGAACAAACATACATTCAGCTCTGTATCCTCATTATTCACCACCATCACTATTTCATCATCAACATTAACACTCAAAGGTAATAAGAGGGGATGGTGGTATAAATAAATGTAGAGTCATTATGCTATTAGTGAACTATGCTGCCTGACACAGCTGCCTAAAAACAACAGAAACGGACAGTTAAACAGAACTTAGGACACTGTTTATCCTAAATTTAGGACAGTATTTAGGAGATTTAGTCTAGTCAGGATGTTTGTGTAATACCGTTTTCTTATCTGAAGTTAATGATAAGATTATGAAGTTAGGAACTGTTGTTCTGGAATAGCTACTTCCCTAAATTCAGTCTGTACTGAAGTCGTCATGGAGACTAAACAGATCAGGTTTCAGAATTATGATCCTTCTGTAATACAACCCCTGATTTGGCAAACGTTCACGGATGACATGAACTCACTCTACTACTCACTGATGTCTCTGTGGTTGGCATAGCAACAGCCAAGCTCAATGAGTTGCATAGTGAAATGATTCTCTAGAATAATAGAGAATGTGTTGTTTATGATACTGTACAGATCCTTTTTGAAAATAGTTCTATATAGCACCAAAAAGGTTTAGCTATTGTTATAAGCTTGACATCATAGCTGTAGAAGAACCCTTTTTGGTGCCATATAGAACCATATATGTACATGCATTCTCCATCAATTTGAGGAACTATTTCAACATGCAAAGAGCCATTTAAGCATGCAAAAGGTTCTTTGAGTGTTCATGGTTCTATATAGAACCATTTTCTTTGCTACACTTTTAAAAAGATGTTTCTTCAAAGGTTCTTTATTAAAGACAGTAATAAAATAAAATCATGAACACTCAAAGATTGATTTGAGTCATGAAAGCGTTCTTTAGATCGATGGAGAATGTGTTGTAGATGGTTCTATTTACCACCTTTTTGAAAAGGGTTCTATATAGCACCAAAAAGAGTTCTTCTCTTGTCTCAAGCTTGACATCGTAACAATAGCAGAACCTTTTATGGTGCTATATAGAACCATATACAACACATTCTCCTTCAATCTGAAAAAAAACATTTCTCCATGCAAAGAACCCTTAAAGCAAGCAAAGGGTTCTTTGAGTATTCATAGTTCTGTGTAGAACCTTTTACAAAAGAACCTGTAAAGAAGCATCTTTTTAAAAAGTGTAATAGAAAATAGCTATGAAACAGTTTTGAAACAGATTGATATATAAGTTATATAAGATATATAAGTTTGTAATAAGCTTTATTTCTGTAGCATATTTTAGTTTCACAAACAGAAAAAAGGAAAAGAAACCAAGAACCAGTAAAGTGACTGCACTCTGACCAGGACCTGGTACAGTTAACTATCCACTAAGAATCAAAAACAGGTGAGACCAGAGCAGAATAGCTACGTTAGCATCGTAGCCTCAGTGCTAAAACTAAAGAAACAGACTTCAGACAGCAAACATGTCTATGTGTTGAGTAAGAGTTAAAACTGTATACAGTTCATATTTCACCAAACTATTGCTTAAAACTGCCTGAGCCTTTTTCTGCTGAAGTCGTAACGCTGCTTCTTTGCACTCTGAGATGCATTAGCGTGAGAGAAAAGACATGATGGGGGAAAAAATGTACGTTTTGCTAAGCATCTCCTCCGAGATTCCACTTTCTGCAGACTCCACAATCTAATAAAGCTTTGGAGGTGGAATGTGTGTTTGTTTTTTTTTGTGGATTTTGTGACGGAGCTGTCGACTCAACCTCACAAATTTGCATCTTCTGCTTTTCCTCCTTTCTCTCTCTCTTTCTTTTTTTTCTCTCTCTCTCTCTCTGTTTCTCTCTGTATATCTCCCACTGTATCTCTCTCTCTGTATATCTCTGTCTGTATCTCTCTCTCTTTATATATGGTGATATATGTGGTGAGGGGCGAATTCTCTCCATTTTATGTGAAAATTTAACTTAAATTCTGTAACAATCCTGATATTGTTTTCCATGCATTTTCAAACTTTCAGAGGGCTGGGTCCACTATTTGAGCTCCTGGACAGAATGCCCAGGGTGCTGGGTCTCTGTTCAAGCTCCTAGACACAGTGCTCAGAGGGCTGGGTCCTCTAATTGAGCTCACGGACAGAGCGCTCAGAGGGCTGGGTCCCCTGTTCAAGCTCCTGGACAGAGCACTCAGAGGGCTGGGTCATCTGTTTGGGCTTCTGGACAGAGTACCCAGAGGGCTGGGGTTTCTGTTCACCCAGAATATATTTGTTTGTAGCTGTAAATACTCTAAAACTCATTGTTCTAAATGAACATTGGCTAATTTCTTAGTGGGACAAGCAAAGTTAGCAGTTTGGAAGTCCTTCAGGTTGGTGTCTGAAGGGCAGGAGGTGGATGTTTTAAAATAGTTCTGAGCTTTAGTGGAATCATGCATTAGAGTTGAATTTGTTTTTTATCAAAGTGCTCATAATATTTCCCGCTTTGAGAAAAAGTGGTGTGCTGGTTAAAGTGTTGCATCTGTTAGTGACACAGGGGTGATATCATTTCATTGGTGCACCGTTAAAAATGAGAGGTCAGCTCAACTCAAAATGATATAGTAACTGATTTCATGACTCAACTTGAGGACACACCAGTTCACACAACTCAAACTTCTTAGGTTCTCTTAATTATTTTAGTTCTACTCAACTTCCCCACTAGCCAGGACTCTTTCCATCGCACAATCCTGCTGGACATTTTTCCTCTTAGGTACCCACTTATGCATAGCTATGGCATTGCTGGGGCTCAACCTCACAACCATCTGTTGGAGTGATGGCTTAGTCCACTGAACCACTCACAAACATATGAAGCAGCTCAGATTTTGAGTCTACAAATGTTTAAAACACTGGGGAGATTATTCATTGCTTTAACTTTAAAGCAAGGTGTAGTCTCACGTTGTGCAACTGTCTAATAATTCATCCCAACATCAGGCGTCACAGCTGTCCATATCCAGAAGCCCAAGAGGAAAATATGCCAGGTGGGACTGTGTGATAGTAGGAGTGCCCGCTAGTGGGGAAACTGAGTGAAAACAAAAATGCAAATCTTATTTTGTTTATCTAACTTAGACACAGACATAAAAACAGTAGCTCAGAGAGTTTTTGACTTAACTAAGAAGTTTGAGTTTGGTGAAATCTGGTGTCCTCAAGTTGTGTGAACTCAAGAAAAGCCGTGTGATCAGTTACTACATCATATTAAGTTGAGCTGACGTCTTAGTTTTTACAGTGTGAATCATTATTATTAATATGACTATTAGCTTTCTCTTTAACATGTAAAATCTCTTAATCAATAAAGCTTTAATAAAGGAGTTTGAAAGTTAACGTCTCTCCATCTCTTTCTCTGTATCGCTCTCTGTATCTCTCTCTCTCTCTCTCTCTCTCTCTCTCTCTCTCTCTCTCTCTCTTTCTGTATCAGGCTGATGTTCAGGTTGGTGTCATATGGAGTGGTCAGTGATGAGGAAAGTAGAGTCGCTGCGTTTTTTTGTGCTGCTGTATTTTAAACTATGTGTCTGCATAAACAGCTAATTAGCTCACTGTGGCCCATACAGCAAAAAAAAATAAAAAAAAAAAAAAACACTGCAAAAAAGAGAGAGAAGCAAACAAACAATGCTGAGTGTTCAATAGTGTCAACAGCACATACAGAGAGAGAGAGTGAGAGAAAGAGAGAGAAGAGAGAAAAAGAGAGAGCAAGAGAAAAGAGAGTGAAGACAGAAATAAAGACAGAAAGAATGTGAAAGAAAAGATAGCAAGAAAGATAGAAAGACAGAGAAAGGGAAAGAAAAGACATAAAAAGAGAGACAGAGAATAAAGGGGAGGGAGAGAGAAGGTAAAGAAAGAGGGACAAAGAAGAGGTAGAGAGACAGAAACAGATAAGATAAAGAGATAGAAAGCAAAAGAAAGAGGGAGAAAGAGAGCATAAGAAGAGAACAAGAGAAAAGGAGGAGAGAATGAAAGATAGACTCAAACAGGAGACAGAAAAAAGATACAAAGTAAGAAGGGAAGAGAGAGAGAGAGAAAGATAGGGGAAAACTGATATTGTTCCTTTTTAAAAGCTGTGATGTCATATGGAGGTGATGTCAAAATAGCTGTGGTGTGAAAGTGTTCAGCGTTTAACATTAATTATCAACACAAACACAAAACTCTACATTAGTAATGATAACTGAGAGCCCCTCAGAACTTACTAGACCGAGCAGAACAGCTTCCTCTCACTGAGGATGAAGGGTAGGACAATTAGTAGGTGGCATTTAAACATAAGAATAGAAAAGTAGAATAAATAATTAATAGAAGAGAAAGACAGGTGAAAGAAAAGCAGAGACAGTGAAAACATAAAGTCAGGCTGTTCTTAGTGTATCAATACAGAAAGCAAAAATGGAAAAATACAGAATAAGCCCCGTAGAGGGCGGCAAAGCACAACAAAACACGAGCATGTATGATACGATCATATTCATCACTGCTTCCAAGGATATAGCTTACTGCACATACAACACAGCATCAAAGGAGCCTCACACACACAGGCACACACACACACATGCACACACACACAC